TACAGCGGTTACAATTAACCATATTACCCCCTCGAAGCATCACGCCCTACCAAACAAAACACAACCCTAAACCTAGAGAGGTATACTGATTGATAGTCAAACATGTTTCAGTTGTTTTTCCATGCGTGAATGCTGCACGCATCTGAAGTGCATGCATACGGTCAAGGGTAGCCGAAGTGCGGTACAGCCTTAAATACTATTTCATATGCCCTTCCCCTACCATGCCACACTTTAGCTCTCTTTTACCTCTATCTATCCCTTAACCACCATTTCACTTTGTGTTCCATTTGCATAGAATTCGATTACGCGTTTTGTTTGCCTTTAATTGCAACGCTCATCCGTTTTACTTAGCAGTTTGTTGGCCACGCTGTGCAACAGCGATTTCCTCTTTTCTTCCTTTGGAATTCGCAATGAAAAGCGTGAAGCGTAAAGTGCGTTTGGGTTTGATTTGAAGGATACTCGTAGTGAAAGAGAACTGCAGGAAATTATCGCCAAGTTGCTGTGTGCACTCCATTGAAATTGATTCCCGAACTTTAAACTGTTTCACTACACAAATGATCCCGGAAAGAGCGAAACCAACGTCAACAGCAAGAGTACTAGCATGGAATAAGGGCATTTAAATAGTGAACACTCTGGAGGCGGCATTACAGACCACTGACATGGTAATCGCACAACGAGTGATTTTACAAACGAGCCCAAAAGTAGGCACCGACTATGGAGATAGGGGTTTGAGGGAGAGAGAAATTCAGTTAGAGATTTTATTCTTTATTTTACAGGTCTGTTATTAAACTCTCGGCTGATGTCAGGGTCGATTATCTGCATCAGTGATAACTGTGGATCTACAAGGGCATTTAGTGTTTCGACTTCAAAATTCAAGCTCAACTTGAATGAGCTTTCCAAACATATTATCCCTATTAATAAACTCAAATGTATCTTGATATTGCCATAAACATCTAATAAATCGTTTTCTTTATTGATTTTGCATGTATTTTGCCTCAGCACGACCCCAACATCTCATCTCTTCTTTCGTAAGACCCGCTCTTGACAAATATTTAATATCGAAGATGCATTTCCAGTTGTTGTTGCTCGTATATGCTGATACATATGTACATAACTGTATCTATCAGAAACTTGCCTAGCATGTCAACGAGAAAATTCGCATATTCAGAGAGCAGTGGCATTGAAAGGGCATGGGATGGCAGGGCACAGCAGGGCAGGGGCACTCTGCCAAAAAAACGAAACACACAAGTGGAATGGCCAAGAAAGAGGGGGGAATAGTTTTGTGTAAATATGCGCATGCATATAGAAATTTGAAGTCTGAAGAAATCTGAGAAAATTGAGAAAAGCAATCCATGATGCAAATATTGAAATATTGACAGGCGCACGAATGTACAACTTGATGTTGTTGCAGTGCACATTGCCTTCCATCCGTTGCGGAACTTGTATTTGTTTCAATTTCAAGTCCTGCACAGACTGAAAGTGGCTCAACAAACAACAGTTATATTTACGAGTCTGGCACATAATGCCAAAACACTAAAATTAACAGCTGCAAAACATTGTTAAGGATTGCAGATGGCAGCCGTCCCTAGCTGGGCCATACGTACCCTAAGCAGCGTTGAGGATGTATGAAAAGTAAGAAGGAAAATTACTCATAATTTACCTTACTTTACGTTTATGCACTTACAGTAGTGTTGTAAGCTATTTCACCTAATTATCAGTGTTGGATGGTGCCATGAAAAACACCAAAACTCTCAACTAAAGTATTACCTCTTTCTTTTACTACAATTTTGTAGTATCTTTCCAGCTTTCAGTGTATTTTGCATTCGTTTTGCACCACTTGAACTGTTTCAGTCCTCTGTTTTGCTTTTCCAACTGAAATTCGTCGTCTTTTGCCAGCTTTCGGTATTTTTAGTGGCTGGCTTTAGCGGCGTTAACTCGACTAACTGTTTTCAGGGGCTGCAAAGACGACATAAAGTATATTTTGATTATTTTGTGAGCCAAAAGTTGAGTATTTTAAGGCCAGCCAGCATTTGCATTTCAAATATATTTTTACGACAATCCACCCAGAAGTTGCTTTGCACATCTCGCCCGCATAACAGCGAGGGTCCAACACCTTCCCGCAGGATCTTTTGGGACGCCTGGTGAACGAGTGAAATACCACAAATGGCGTGTAAACACAACAAAGAGGTAATAACAATGGCGGCCGGTTGCCTGTAGAGGTCCCTGACTTCGCGAGGCTTTAGACAGAGAGACAGAAAGTTCTCTTCCACATTCCTGGAGTCCCGCTTCCGAGGGAGGCTAGGGCAGGGCAGGACCTTTACTGCCACCCGCACTTTGGCAAACATTTTTATTTGTTTCTCCGTAAGCTGTGTCAATACACAATAAATTGAACTGTGCAAGAATTTATGTTGGCACTTTGTGAGGACGCAACATGCCGCCACCGCCACCGCCATCGCCACTGCCACGGCCACATCTCCCCCGTCATTCCCCATACTCCTTATCTCAAGGGAGGACACCCGCACATTCGTACTGGGCGTCAATTGCATATTGGCCGCCCTCTGGGGACTTAAAAGTTCAATAATATTTATTTGTTACTTGCTCTTTGACAACAAAGCTCGCTCGCGCGCGCACACACAAGATTATACTTAGTCCTAGGCCCCCGTTTATCACGCACCCAGAGATATCCGAACTCGAAATCCTACCCCAAAGCCCCACGCGGAAACCCACAGACACCCCCTTATATAATGGCATATTGTCAGACAATGGCTGCGACCAGAGCTTGGCCGTAAATTTTATCCCTAAAGGCGATGATTTTTCTAAAGGCACTAAGCTAATTTAGTGACCGAATGCCAAAGTGGTCAGGCCCTGTGATTTATGGGGTCAGCATGCCCATTCCAGCTACATTTCCAATTATCTCTTTGGTTAACTTGTAACCTTAAAGCCATCACTAAAATAAAACCAGAAGCTACATGAAACAATATTATCGTGCACACTTTAATTAAGATCAACCTTTGTTGTGTTAACTTAGTGCACAATTTTCTGGCACTGGCACACATATTTGTGTCAATGAGTCAGTGTCGATCCCATTTAATATGTGGACAAATTTCGATATTCATAAAGCGGCTGGGGCTGGGGCTGGGGCTGGGGCTGGGACTGGGTGTCCAGGAACACGTGTATTGTGTTGGCCATCTACAAATAGCATCAGAGCCATAAACAAATAAATTTCAAATCTTCTGTTAGTCCCACTTAGTCGACATGGAAGGAAGCGCAGGCGCATACAAACAACCGGCGAAATGGTAGTGTGAGAATCAATGGAATGAAATGGCAAAGGGTCACAGCAGGAGAAGTAACGAAGCAGAAACGAATGGCATGGAACTTTAGGGGAATAAAAAGTTGAAACGAAACGAAAAAGGGCTCCCAGCTGGGGAAAAACGAATAGGAATGAAACGGCAAAGGAATGTTAACAGGGGAAGGACCACAACGAACGAAACGAACGTTGAACAGCAGCATTAGGAGTTAAGCGGAACTACTGCGTGGGATGGTTTTTGGTCCCTGACGTTGGCGCTCGTTGCACGCGTTTCAGAGGAAAATCTGCATCCTGCGCATACGGACGTGACTCGGATGGAAAAGGAAGCCGCTGCCACAAGACAATTTGCCGTGTTTCGCAATTGAAACGTGCCCCGAAAGCGTTCGCTTTGTTTATTCCAAAAACAAAAAAAAAGTGAATGTACAAATAACGAAAGAGTGCAGAGCAAAGAGTAAACAGTGAGGATAGCCATAGAGAAAAGAAGAAAGAATTAAGACAAAGTTAAACCACTTGGTGTCCTCTTGGGTGTCCTGTGAGTGGAGTGTCTTGGCGTCGGTTGTTCAACGTGGAGTGTGTCGACTTTCAACTGACGAGTGTCTTTTGTCGAAATCACTTTTAAAATTTGTTTGCTCCCGTTGTATTTAAATGGATATTAGAACTGAACCGAAACCTACCAAAACAAGGGACCCTGGCGCCACAATTTGAGTCAGAGGATTTCTCCAAGGAGGCGTAACATAAAAAAAGGGATTATTGTGCATCGTTTTTGTGGACCCAAGTTAAGGAAAGTGAAAAGAAAAGTATCCTCCAGCCGGATTATGCGATAAATTGTTACTGAAGTGAAAATGTTTTCTCACGTGTTAAATCGTTAAATATAATCCTAAAAAAGAAATATATGTATAAGGAAGCAACTGTTCGAGCGGCTGGCCATATGGCCATTGTAACTTATTACGAAGAAACCTTAAAATGCAAACTTGGGTGCAAGAAAACCCATTGAAAAGCAATTCGAAACTTGTTAAACACTAAAAATGGTTCAACTTCTTCAAGAGTTTTTTTCTGTGTGCCGGGAAACTTTCAGCCATTAGTCATTGAGAGGATCCTCGTTGCGTGATAGTTTTGCATGAGAATTTTGCAATTTATTAACTTTTTTGTGTGAATAGGAGCGTGGGAGAGACCTGAAGCTATAAGGAGAATTTTACATTATTAATTGCAAAACGATTATGAGAGTGTAAGTGGCAACAAAGTTTCTGAACTTTGATTTATATTTATAAAGACGATAAAAGGGATTTAGAGCAGGGATGTCTCATTTTAATGGCAAGCTGTTTGCTTGCTGTGATATTTGGGAGGACTTTGTCAATGTTAGTTTTTGAAGGAAAGGGTTGAGTTTGTAAAATTTGAGTAAAAGCCAAATTGTGAAAATTGTATTAATTATCTCAATCTGTTGAATATTTAAAATTTGTGTAGGAAATTCTTGTTGAAGTGGTGTGAAATTAATATTGAAACTCTCTCAGATTTCCAAGCGTTAACTTATTTTGATAGAAGTCTAGATAACCCACCCTAAACAAACAAAAATATTCCCCATTCATGCCCAACCACATTTAGTTTAGGATTAGGCGGTGTTCACTTAGCAAAATCAATGAAAGGAGCGTGGGACTCTGTGTTTTCCATAAATCATAAACTTAAATACTGATGATATTTATATTGATGCCACTGCAGCGCCAACAAAAGTTCACCACTCAACGGAACCGTAAACACTTAAATAAATATATAAATCAAGCAAGAGAGAGAAATACGAGAAGAACGAAACAATGAAAATGCAGGAAAATTTTTGCAGGAAACGCACCGAAAAACTTGTGAAAAAGCCATAAAAGAAAGTTGTAATTCTTGGCCATAATACGAAATAAAATAAAATCATATAAGAGCAAAGTGGAGCAGAAAGTAAATAGGAAATAGGAGAAACGGGGCTAGAGTGTCCAAGCCCCCAGTGTATTAATTCAATAAACCTATTTATGTGAGACTTCGACTGGGATTTCGGGGAGCGACGGCGAGATAGAGATTTCGCAGAGAATGCGACAAAGTTTGCCAGCCAAGACGGCGCAGTGCAATCAGCCCAGTCTGCTAAGGAGTCGACCGAGGAGTCAGAGAAGTCCAAGGAGCCAGAGCAGCAGGAGCAGCCAGATTCGATGCCGCAAACGAGTCCCAATTGGAGGCAGGCGGACAATGAGCGCACAAAAGGCTCTGTAAGTGTCATTGCAGCCAGGAACTGTGCCACTGGGACTGCCACAGCCACAGCCACAGTCACAGCCACCGCCGACGCCACAGCCCCAGCTCGGCGAAGGACAGCCACGTTGACAACTGCAGAGATGACAGTGAGGGCAGGAGACGTGGGCGGACCATCTTCAGGCCAACGTCGCCAATTTTTACGTGGCACCAGGACAGCAGCCCGGACAGCATCTTGGCTGGATCTCCTTCCAGCCCTTCTGGTGCTCGGCTTTGGGATGCGTAAGTACAGCTCGGGGGCACTTCTCTTTCTATCTCTCCCTCTGTGTGTGTGTTTGTGTGTGCGACTTTCATACATTTTTGATTTAATTTAACGCATTCATGTCGCACTCACACACACTCAAAAACACCCACAGAGAAATACCCCCACACACTGGGATAATGGCACTCGTAAGCGGGTCCCCTAGACGCGTCATGGCTGCTGGCAAATTATTTTAGTAGTTCTGGATCAGCAGTGGGACAGAGAAAGATACAGAAATGCCGTTGGCTTTCTCTCTCACTTGTCCTTGACAATTGACGACAGAAAGAGGGGGGCTGTGTTGTGGTATGGCATGGGCAGGTGCGTCACTTTGGAGAGGGGTTTTGGGTTTGAGAGGGGTTCTGAGTCTCCCTTTGTTTTATTTGATTTAGCTGAAATTAGATTACCAGAGGAAATGAGGGTCGGCAATAATAGGAAAAACAATGGTCCTTAAATTTGATCAAATGTCTGTGTGAGAACTTTCCAAGTAATCATTTGGAGATACTTATTTTTTGTATGAAAATTGTATTAAACGGAAGTTTAAAAATAAACTTCTATTAAATTTGTGAAGAAATAAAAACCACTGACATAGTAACCACCTAGGGAATACGAGTCCTGATATAGACATCCACTTGAGAAACCCCTCTCAAAACACCGCCCCTTAGGTTCCTTCCTTCTTTGCTAACTTTTTGTTTTGGGGTGCGAGTCTAATTTGATTTCAGAACATAATTAAGTCAACTTCATTGGCCTAATGAGATGTTCATTTAATTTGCCCCTAACAATACATATCCATAATAAGAGTACGAGAACGAGAAGGAGTACGAGTATACCCCCACTTGTATTTCTTTTTCTGTTTTCTGTGTTTCTTAACGAATTATTTTCTGCCAAATGGAGGGGAACCTCTTTCCGAAAACTCTCCAATTAAATTCATGCTTTTGTTGCGGTTAAATGGATTCAATGGCCCAAACAAAAATCGTTTGAAATCGTTTAAGCCGGGCCGCGAATCGACAAGGTATTACTAATTTTCAGAGCTGTAAAGGGAATAATATTAATGGCAGATTAAAAAGCTTTTAATTAACACTGGAGATAGGCCTTAGGAGAGATACATTAATGCTGTGGAATTTTCAGCAACGTAGTGTGATAAACCCATTGAGAACTACTTGAAGCTTTTTTGTAAATTTTTATAGGATTATTTGGTCCTAATCCTTTGGTTATGCATAATGCAGGATTTTTTTCTATTCATCTCATTTGCTTGTTTTAGAGCTGAACTAAAACTCTTGAATCCTCAAATACTCTCATTTTCCCCAGCTATATTTATTTGATTTAATTATACGCTAAAAAAGTTTATTTAGTCCAAGTTGAGCCTCAATTTTCCGCACCCAAAACTCCATTTAGCATAAACTTGCTTTTATCCTTTAAATCACATAAAGTAAATTGTACATATTTATGAACCTTTGTGCACACAAATCAACAGTAAAAGTTTCTAGATGCTCTTTGGACGGTTCCGTAAATTACGAGAATGAGAAATAGTTTGCAGAAGGTCCTTAACCCCGTTGGGACCCCAGATCCCAGATCCCAGCAGCAGAAGCAGGAGCAGCTGCTTTTCAACTGCTGTTTCGTGCTGGCCGATAATCATGGCAAAAATAAAGCAACACATTTCTCTTTTCCTCTAGTTTTTCTCTCATTCGGTACTCCTGCCCTATAATTTCTAAGGGGGAGAAACATTAACGAAATTGAAAACTTGCCAAAAAATGTTTAATAAACACATTTTCAGTGGCACATCGGATGGCACCCCTAAAGCCCATTCTCTCTGTGCATCCCTTGCCCTCTATCAACTCTCTGCGCTCTTGGCTTGAAATCCCTAAACAGAATGCGCTGTCGAAAAGTTTGACTGCAACTCGTTATGCGAAAATACAGAATGGGGCAATAAAGTAGATGCAACCTCTAAAGCACATACTTTTAGCCATATCCCCTCCACACCAAAATACTCGAAATTATAATGCAACTGAAGTTTGTCTTGCTGTTGGCTTTGTTCGGTCAAAAATTTGGTTTCTATTTCTCATTTTTTTTTTTTTTTGTGGGAGGCTTTTATACGAAGTTTTTACGTTTGCTTTGCATTGTACTGGCTGCCTGCTAATTTCGGAAATGTGCCGGCAAAGTTGTGCCTCAAATCAAAGCTGGCTACAGGTTGACTTGGGGTCTGAGCCTGGGCCCATCACCTGGCCGAAATGGCCCCGAAATCCTTTAAGAGAGGAAGCTCTGGGGTCGGCATGTCGTGTCCTGTGTGCGGTCGTTGCTGTTAGGGCCAAAAGTGTTTGCTTACCTTCATAAATTATAAATGGGTTTGTGGGCAGACAACAGCAACAGAGGTAGAGCTGGCCCCGGTCTCACGCTCTCTGATAGCAGGTGGAGTGTGTGGCACACACATTGTCAGCTGACCTCGGCCGCGTCCTGGGCCTGGTACTGGTCCCTGGGACTGAGCCTGTGATGACGGAAAATATTGTAACACAAGTCAACAGGCTGGCGGCACAGGAGGCTGAGGAGGGGTTGACCGACACATGACAGTGCCGCAGGTCAACAAAGTATCTAACGGTGGAACAAATTGCCAGGAAACGTGTTTGCAACGCCATAAAAAGAATTGCCCATTGTGGAGCCCTAAAATGTATGCTATGAAATTTTGAGAGTAGCGGCTGAGTACTTCTTTTTGGTACGAAATAATTTGTAAGGGTTGTCAGTCATGTAAGGAATATACATTATTGATAGCCTTAATATAGCCATTTCTGCGGGTATCTGGAATCTGAAACTGATATATTATAGAAGGTAAAAATGTGCATAAGTATTATCCCAGGGGTCGAAATGGGTACAGCTAATTAACATATATTTAGAAATGATCTCTTATTTCAAAACATAAACATCAGTGTACCGAGTATACCACAGCTACATAATCGTATAAGTATGGCAATCTTCGTTTGGTTTCAAGTCATGGCAAACAATGAATGGTGCTGGCTGTGCCACCCACTGTGCCTCATTCGCCATGCAACTAACAATTTCCTGTCTCCAACACACACACTCACACACCAACAGTGTAAGCTGAATGTCCTTGATGCGCTTTTGGTTCGCAAAATGTGAGCTTAAATTATTCAGAGGGTCCAAAGGAGTAACCGTTCAGCAGCTGCACCGACTGGGGCAGCGCAGCGTCGACGCTTTGGGCAATCAAAGACAACAACAAGAAAAACAGCAACAGCAAATGCATGTGTGTGTGAGGGGCATTTAATTGCTCAGACAAGAGCAGAGAATCAGAGAATCAGAGAACCAGAGGGTGATAGAGAGAGGAAGAGGCACGGCGAGAAATGACCCACAAATGACAAAGTGCAGCGGCAGTCAACGAGCCTTGTCTTCATATCTTGTCGAAGTGTGAAAAGAACAAGACAAACACGACCAAAAAGCCGGCTCTGCCCGTTCTTCCTCTAGGGCAAAATGGCCAGAAAGAGGGCTTCGTCTAGGCCAAAATGTGGAAATTTATGAATCGCAGCAGGCAATGGGGCTGGGGGCATAGAGAAAGCGGATCCCGCCCGGACAGACTCTATCCCGGCAGGAGGTCCTTTGAAAAATTGTTTTGTTTTTGGTCAACGTTCGCCTACTTATTTATGGCTGCCCTGCAGCGTCCTTCTTCTTTCTATCTCTGATACCCTCCCTCATGACTCCCTCTTCACTCCTCACTTTCCCAATCTCTCTTTCTCCTCTCCCATTTCCCTGTTGCAGGACAACTCTCCCTGGCCAAATATTTAGCCAAGAGGCCATAAAAATCAACTAGATAGCCACAGCAGCCATGAGAGATATTCTAGTATCTCTCTGAGATTTCGCATAATTATTTACCCTGATTTATTTGGGGAAAAAAGAGAGAGCAGAGCAGATGTAGTCCGAGCTTTAATGAAGCCAATGGAAATATTTAGGATATAAAACATTTCTGGCATTAATTTCCACAATTTGTGCGAAAATGTTTGCAATATTTCAGGTCAGAATATATTTGCAATGTTTGATAATGCTTAAGCCTATAAATGAGGATAACTATAATCTGAATCAAACTGATAATTTCGAAAAGTTAACCGAAAACCAAACAAATATTGTCAATCATGAGTATCTGCAACACCTCATCAAATACGAATGAATATGAATTTATTATAAATTGTTTAAACATCATCAATTTCCCCTTTGGCAGGAATGGTAGCCTTCTCCCCCCAAAAGGAAACAATCAATCCATTTAAATTCATCAAAATGAACTTATATCTCAACAGAAGTTTTTGCCAGTTTAATTTCCCCAAAGACTTGTGCTCCCATTGGAATTTTTCCTGCAGAGAGTCTTTTCTAGCCTGATTCATCTTCATCAAGTTGGACCTTTTGTGTCATAAATTATTTATGTTTATGCACATTGCGATGACATTTGATCACAAGTGCTTGGAATTCCCATAAATATTTGAGGCCAAACAAAAAAAATCGAATGAGAGTATAGAATGAGTGGAAAAATTGTATTTAAAGTGGCATTTATCAAATCGATCAATAAACAATTACGGAATGCGAATGCGAATGCTCATAAAATAAATAAATAAATAAAAGTTCGCTGAGAGCAGCCGTGAAATCTTATAGAAAATGTATATGTATCTGTATGCTAGGAAAACACGCATTTAAGATACATTTGCATGAGTGTGGGTGGCTTCGAGTGGGTGCTTTTGAGTGGGTGAGAGCTCAGTCATTCGAGTGGCCTGTGCGGCTGACTGCCTGCGTGGATGGACGATAAGGGTGTGGGAGATGTGTTTAGTGGGAAATTGCTCTCTGCTGCCGTTATCCCAGAATTCATTCAAAACTGAAACATATGCTGGGTGTCACTGTGAAAATTACACAAAGCCAGCGAATGAGCTCCAAGCAAGGGGGTCTATGGGGATGTTCAATACAGTTTCTTCCTCAGAAACCCTTGGCACTTGTACGT